ACCTCTTTTGAAATTGATTTAGGAAGAAACCAGAGAAGAGAAAGAACAGTCAAGTGAGGGAAGACATGGAACTAATTTTGAGTAATTAGCATGTAGTAGCTACCTTATACACATTTTCTCTTAATCTTTATAAGAACTCCATAAAATGAACATTTCCCCCGTTTTGTAGATAAGAAATAAAATTGAAGTTCAGAGAACTTGTTCAGGATGCCACAGCCAGTAAGTGGCAAAATCAAAATTGGCATCCAGAGTCCATGCTCTTTTCACTCCCATGCTGCTATCTCCTCTAACAGGGGCATCAGTCCGAAAAGTTATCTTTCTTTTGTTTGGCTCTGTAAGGTATCATTTGGTTATGTTTCCGTAAAGCTGGTGGGATTTCTGCTATGCCTATAAATTCCCATTATTTTGAGGGACGGATTATTGTTTTCTTGAAATGATGGACTGATAAAAATGTGAAAGGAAAGTAACTATGTGGCATTATTTGCTAAGAATAAATAGAAAGGTAAAAATGAATTTTATCTTTTTTTAAACCACTTTTCAGAAAAGATATAACTATCTTTTCTGCATCCCACCTATACCAGATTATTAAATCCTTTTATGTATATCTTTTAAAATAATCTGTAAAATTCTTCTTCCTTGACTGTGTAAGCCAGTAATTTAATGAGTTCTTAATCAAAGTTGGAAGCATCTTGAAATCTAAGATGTAGTTCCTGCCTGTTTTACCCAGTTGGAGAAACACTACACATGAGATAACTGGAGAACTGTAAATGCTTACATTTCTGGGGCTGAACTATAATTGCAGTAGACGTTTAGAAAGGGGAACGAATAGTACACGCTTCAGTTAGGACAGTCTTCACAAAAATGTAAAACTGAAAAGTGGCAAATACTGTAGCTCAAATTTTCTTTTGACTCACCTGTATTTTTTAGTTGCAACTTTTGTAACTACTTAGGGCATGACGTTTATCAGTAAGGCATATCTAATACACAAAAAGGAAAGGATTACTGATTCCCAGGACTAAAATTTTAGCTAGCAGGGCTCTCACTTGAACACTTAGGAAAATACTAGAGGGAGCCACTAGCAACTGAAAGTGAAGGAAAGATTGAATTTCTCTACCTAGGTACAAATTAAATATATATTATATATGATATGATATGCAGAAGGGGCACTGTATGTAGGCATAAGTGCAGTTGGGTAATAGCTCTGCTACTACTTCACAGCATATTGGACTAGATCAAGAGTTCTTAGTCTGTTCAAGTAAAAGAACTTGTGATTTTAAAATATGGCAGACATGGGGAACTATGGAGTTAAGTATTAATATTTATTTCATTGATGGAGAAAATGTAAATGTGCATATGGAATTGCAGACTCTTGCAAAAACTCTAGGAACCCACAGATTGTAGATCACTGAATTAGATTATCTCTGAAGTCCTTTCCACTCCAAAATTTTATGCTTCTAGTCTCCTCTTTATTATATATTATCCCTAGGTTAATTAAAAGTATACTTGCTAATCAGTTCCTTTGCTTTTTTTGTGTCCAGGTTTCATTTGCCTAATAACTAACCTCACTTGACTAAAATCTACAAAAAGGAGAGTATAATGGTTATAGATCTAGTAATGATCTTTTAAACACAATTCATTAATTTAAAAAACTTAATGCAGTATTCCTGTACATTGTTGAGTATGACTAAAATGTAATTAATGAGAACCAAATATTTCACTGACACCAGAGTTAAGTTTTATTTTACCTGTGTGCTTAAACAAAGCACTTCACTCACTGAGCAATTGTTAGGAAATCGTTTTGTGTAAGTTGTAAAATTTACTTTTGGTAGAAACAACTTTTTCAAATTCAGTTAGGCTGACTTTTAAAACTTATCCTACACAGTGTATCTCCATTGTGTCATTCTCTTTCTTGCCCTCTTTCACTTAACTACTTAATAGTAAATATAGGATGCAGATTAATGAATAAGTAATGTGTAAAAAAGTAAGTGAGAGTGGGAAGAATCAACCCTCTGATGAACATGGCAGTTTTCCAAAAATAGATGCCTTGATGAAAAGGCTACTTAAAGACATCTGTGTACTGTGAATATTCAACTATTTTGCCTTGCTTAGCACTTCAGTTATTGTCATGAAACTTAATTGCACTGTACACATTTTAGAATACTGGCAAGAATATTCCTTAGTCCGGAAAGTAACCAGCAGAGAATACCAAGCCAATATGTTGATTTCTCCTGTTATGAGAAATTTGATATTTTAATGATGGTTATTTTGACCTTTGACTCATCTGTGTGTCAGTCCTGCTAGAGAGGCCACTTAGAATCAAGAGTATTTTTCATAGAGATTATGATTAACTTGGTAGTTTTCCTGTTGAAGTGAACTTGTGGTTAAAGTTACTGGATATAATGATATGGAACCCTTAATTAGAAACTCTTAATCCTTTTATACTTTTTCATTCTCTGTTCCTAATTTTTCAACATCCATTCTCTGGAAATTAGTCATGATTTTAATAAAATTGGCTACGTTTAAGAAATTCACTTCTCTTTTAATGGTAACATTTTAAAATTTTTATAAATATACAAAGGAAGATTTTGAGGCAAACATCATTTTTATAGCTCATTTTCTGTCTACTTAAGAATGCTTTTATTCCAAATATAGAATGGCTAGCTCCATGACACCCCTCTCCCCTTTTTGGCCTATAGAAGGCTCTTGTATTATTGCATAGGACCTCAGACATTCTCATGAACATGATTTTTGGTACAGGCCTTTCTCTGACATATGATCTGAAAGTAGATTGGGTAATCCAATAGGAACTACATTAATAAAACAATTTGGCATTTCTGTAAAGTATGTTAAAAAAATAACCACATTTACTTATAGGGTTAGAGATACAAATACTAATGGTAGTATTTTGCCTAAGAACAGTCACATATTTATTAACATATGGGAAGTTGCCTTGCACTTAATTTTGTTGCAACAGACTGCAAGATTTTGTTGCTTAATGGTATTTCCTCTATAAAGATCAAAATGCCCTAAGATTTATATCCCTTATAAGGTCACTTGGGTTTTCAAATAAGAATAAGTCAAGCTAAGCTAGATTGAACATAAAACATTTATCTCCATTAAAATAACTTATTAATCTAACTGAGCCTACCATGAATCATTCATTTTATTAGATGTGGTAAATAAAATGGGAAACATTTCAAATCATTAGATAAATTCTGACCTGGAAGTGAATTCTCCCTTCCTTAAAATCTTTTTTATTTGCTTTTTTCATGGCTTCAATATGGGCATTTTAA